TCCTTTTGGATGGCTTGAATGTGGATAAAGTCAACATGTTAAAGATGCTGGAGCAATGAGATAAAGGAGTCTAGACTCCTGTTACACTGACGTACCAAACCCATCCTGGCCTGCTTATGTCTGTGCTGTTATACAGGAGAGAAACCTTTTCCTTTCAAAATACTTTGTTATTCAGGGTTTCTGCTCCAGCAACTCAGCCTAAATCCTAATTAATAGAGTTGGTCTAGATACTTGAGTTCATAAAACTGCCCCACGCCTGCTCAGTTCTGTGACCCTTGCAGTAACCACTACATAAGAGGAGGTACATTCTTTTGCAGAACTGTGTTCACAATTACCGCTGCTGTGACTTGGGTTCTCGACAGGGAGATGTCTACATCTCATCAGTGTTCTTATTTCCCTTTTTACTAGAAAGAGCCTGGCAGAAGATATCACCGGGTTTCAGCACCCCTGGTCCATAGCTTCAGAGGTGTAACATCTAGCAATGTACAAACAACCTTCCTGTGGTCCTCCAGGCTTCTCAGCTGTTCACGGTTACTCTGATGTTTTGACATCATTTGAAACACAGCGTATATTTTTGGGATTTATTTTACCCATCCTGCCCAAGGATATTAAAACCCAAATCTTAGCTGCTTTCTTTTTTATTCTGCCATTTGGCCTATTAAGAAACTAATCTTTAAAAACGATTTATTTATTTATTTATTTATTTATTTATTTGAGGGGGAAGGGGCAAGAAGAGAGGGAGAGAGAGTCTTAAGCAGACACCCCGCTGAGCATGGAGCCCCACGTGGGGCTTGAGGTCATGACCCTGAGATCACCACCTGAGCTGAAAACAAGAGACAGATGATTAACTACGACATCCTGGTGCCCTGAAATTAATTTATTTTTAAAACTAAGAGGATATGCTATAGAAAATATGGGAAGAAGATCCAACTCCCAGTATGATCAGTATTAAAATAGTGTTGTAGGGGCGCCTGGGTGGCTCAGTGGGTTAAGCCTCTGCCTTCAGCTCAGGTCATGATTTCAGGGTCCTAGGATCGAGCCCCGTATCGGGCTCTCTGCTCAGTGGGGAGCCTGCTTCCCCCTCTCTCTCTCTGCCTGATTCTCTGCCTACTTGTGATCTCTGTCTGTCAAATAAATAAATAAAATCCTTTAAAAAAATAGTGTATTTCTTTCTAGTCTTTTTATAAGTGTTTTTTGTTTAGACACTGCCTACATTAAAATTTTCATCTTACACTCTCTCCGTTTATTATATTGTAAGCGTTTCCCCATACCACTGTCTAGTCTTCAGGGCCCCCATCTTTTTCAGTTGACGGGACTTCTGTCACGTGAGTATAATACACTTGACCTAACTAGCTCCTATTGCTGGATACTCAGGCTTCCTTCTGTAGTGTAATGCATGGCTGGAAGAGTATGTCGATGCAGTAAGGCTGGTGAGGGCAGGGAGCCTTCTCTCGCCATTGCTGGCTGGCTCGTTGGCACACTTCTTGGTTTGGGCAGAAGCTCAGTTGGCCAACTTGCCTGAAGAACATGTGGGTTTTCTAAGTTTATTTTTGGCTTTATTAACTACCAGATCTATGAGGCAGCACAATACTCATGTTCTAAAATTTAGGGACAATTTCTTGCTTATGTTTAAGCAAAACCAGATAGACTTTTCTATTATTTTTCTTTCAAAAGGGCAAGGAATTTGTTTCTCTGGAAGAGCGGTTGGGAAAACATGGAAAAAACAAGCATTGCCTGTAAAGGTCAGGGCTGGGATCGGGAGAACGAAAACAAAAACGAACCTAGAGTTTTGACAATTCCTTCCATTTTCTTTCCTAAAGCTGTGTTTTTGACTGTGGATGGCACATCAGAATCACATGGGGAAGCTTTTGTCAAAATGCTGATCCTTAAGCCCTATCCCCACAGATTCTGATCTAACTGACCTATGTTGGGGCCCAGGCACATGCAACTAGGGTTAGGACCTGCTGTCTTAAAGGCAATGGGCAAATAGCATGGGAAAATATTCAGTCTCACTAACCATCAGAGAAATTTAAAATGACAAATATTTATGACCATAAGTGAGCATTAAAAATCACAGAATAGGTTGAGCTAAAGAAGTCAGACAGAAAAAATTACATGTGGTAAGAATCCATTTAAATGAAGTGCTAGAAGAGACAGAACTCAGAAGAGTGGATGTCTGGGAGGAGGCGGGGTACTCAGGAGATGCAGATTAACGCCAAAAATCCAGATAGAACCTTAAGGGATAATGGAAATGTTCTGGATCTTGAATGGGGTAGTGGGTATGCGGGTGTATACATTCAAATCTCTGCCTTTATTTTTTTTTTAAGATTTTATCTATTTATTGATTTAACAGAGAGAGAGATATCACAAGTAGGCAGAGAGACAGGCAGAGAGAGACGGGGAAGCAGGCTCCCTGCTGAGCAGAGAGCCCAATGCAGCACTCGATCCCAGGACCCTGAGATCATGACCTGAGCTGAAGGCAGAGGCTTAACCCACTGAGCCACCCAGGCGCCCCGAATCTGTGCCTTTATTATATGCCAATTATACCTCAATTAAAGCAAAGAATATTGGGGAAAATGTCATCAGAGCCCTTCCTATAATAGCAGCACTCAATGCTAATGAGGATGGTGTAATTGCTACTCTTACATGATAATGGCAGAAAATTTTGGCGGGATGTTTCCAAATGTTTGTCAATACATTTTAAGATCCAGCGTTCCAGGTTTTTGACCAGTAATTCCACTCCTGGGAATTCATTCTATAAAAATAATGTTTAAAACAAAAAGTGTGTGTATATATATATATATAGACATATACGTATATGTCTATATATATATATATACACACACACATATGTATACACACATACATATAAAAAAATGCACATATAGATATGTATACAAAAAGTGCATATGTACTTATATATGCATACACAAACCAAAATACTTTTTTTCTGTGTTATTCGGAGTAAAAATACCATTCATAGGACCAGTGAATAATTCTTAACTCAATTAGGACTGTGTTGTGAGGGTTAATTCCAGCAGGCCTAGAACTGACCTGAGCTGTTTTGCTAAGTTCTTGCTTGCACTGACCAGTGGTCAAGCAATGAGACATGCTGATTAAAGCCACGTTGGTTTGTAATCACAGGACTGAGGAGTCTGATGGCAGTTTGTCCCAGCTTGTCAGCACTGTTTCCTGATAACAATGAGACTGAGGATATGTGCTTAGTCTCAGCAGACCTCCGGAAGGCTGTGCTATTGAGGCTGGTTACCTAGCAGAAATATGTTCCCATAACCAGCAGGAAAAAAAAAAAAATCTCAGCTGAGACTCCATTGGGGATCCCCAGTTGTGAGGTGTTCGGTGCACACACTGGTAATTCCTGACCCCCAGAGAGGCAGTGGATCCCAGCATGGTCCTAACATAAGGAGTGCGTCTGGGGGCCCCTGCGGGACCTCTTGGGACTGTCTGCCGTGAGCCTGCCATGGGAGGCAATGCACGTCCTGACCCTAATTCTGTTGTGCTACTGCATCTTTCTCCTGCAATGAGCTGTACCTTTGGAAGGTACTGTTAGTACCTGGGTTCTGTTAGTCCTCTTTAGCGATCAGAACCGTTTAACTGCTGCTATTAATGCAAGGGCATAGCAACTTTATGAAATATTATGTTCTACAGAAATAAGCAAATTCAAAGACTGTAGCAACATAAGCACAATGCTTATATGAGAAAACACTAAGAGGAAAAGAATGTAAAATTGTACCCAGCTATGATAGTAAAATCACAAAACTGTGTTTATTGCCAGAGACTAGGCGTGAACACAGGGAGGATTCTGGGCAAGCAATGGATATACACATTAGATTCAGTATCAGTGCATCTGGCAGGCATTGTGGCATTTTATATGCTCTGGATCTAGCACTTCATTCTTCCAACTCTAATACCAAGATAAGAGGTGGAAAGAGCACTATAGAGGTTATAGAGGACTGAGTTCTAGCCTTAGATTTGTAAGCGGCATGAATGGAACCACGCATACTCCCCTGACCATGGTTTCTACATTTCTCGGTAATGTGATAATCAAAGCAAGATAAGGAATAGCAAAAATACCCTAAAGAGCAGTAAACAGTGGTTTTTAAATCAATATCATTAATACTATCAACATCGTAGGTGAGTAATAATACAAAAGAATAAGAAATTTCAGCCTAATTGAAGGAATAGAGTAGAAGACTACAGAGCTAGGAGCAGAGAGGTGGATCATGGAAAAGGAACTAAAAAAAAAAAATAGATATAATAGTAGCTGTGCATTAGACATTGATCTAAGCAAGTGCTTTATGTATATTTATTCATTTAATTCTCATAACAGCTTTATGAGAAAGTACTGTTATTTTGTCCATTTTAAAGATGAAGGACCTCAGGCACAGAGAGGGTACATAACGTATCCAAGGTCACGCAGCTAGTTTCTAGTAGAACCAGGATTTGTACCCAGGCAATATGGCTCCAGAGTCCATACTCTGAACTACTATGCTACATTCCAGAAAGGAGGAGAGTGGGAGGAATGTGGTAGAATGATGAGCAGGGAATGTTAAGAAAGAACCAGAAGTTCAGAAACACATTTTTTATTGAGCACCTACTATATACTGGAGACTATGGATAAAAAGATGCATAAGACCATGGCCCAGGCACTTGAAAAGCCTACAGTCTGGTGAGGAGGACAGGTAGTGAAACATACTATTTCAAAAGAATGCGGCAAGTTCTGAAATAAATACAAAGAGGCATGTACAAAGGCTATAGTGTACAAAGCATAAGCACTTCACCCAGTCCAGGCTGGTGGTGTCGAGAAAGGCTTCTTGGAGAAGGTGACTCCTAGTCTAAGAATTATGAGTTGAAATGAGGAGTTGAAACAAGGAGAGGGTGGTCAGACAGAGCGAAGAATGCGAGGGGAGAAGGCAAATGAAAAGGGTCTATTTGGGGAAAAGCATGAACTCCCCATTCGGAGGGAACTTGTTTTCGTTTACCTCACATGGACATCAAGCTGCTTCAGAAACTGCCCATATTCTTCACAGAGCGCTTTCTTCTCCTGCTGCAGCCCAGATATCTTTTCTGATAATTCTCGGTTGCTTTTGAGATGCTGAAAAACATTTTTTTTTAAATGAATCTATTCTGTGCTGCAAGATTACAAGTCTGAAAACTACACTTCCCTTGACAGCAGAGTTCCAACAAAGGAGAGGCACTTGCACACAGTCTAGAGGGCAGTGGGAGGGGAGAGCCGTCGTCCTCCAGCTCTAGTGGGGAGGTGACCAGGCAGACAGCAGAGGAGGCATTTACAGGGGTTCGGGAAGTGTTCCTGCAATTCCCTCTCTCTGGGGCTGCAGGAGTGGGTTTCCCTGGGGTTTCTGGACTTCTGGAGTTACCCAAAGTTCTGACATTCTGACATTCTCCTCATCCCGGCATCTCCCTTCCAACAGTTTGTAAGCATGTTATTTCCTGTGTTCAATCCTTTCCTGCTTGAGATAGCTAGAGCAGATTCTGCTTTCCTGATAAACTTAAGGGGTAAAATGCTGGGCCCTCAATAACGATTAGCTGTGACTGGGGTCTACAGGAATAGGAAAACTGAAAAGTGCATCCATTTACTTTCTTACCTCTTCTGATTTTCTTTTTTCCTCTTCCAGTTGTTTGAGTTGGGCCTCCTGTTGCTGAATTCTGGATTGCTGCTGAGAATTGGTTATTTCCAGTTGATTCCTTTTATCTTGTAAGATTCTCACTTGCTTTTGTAGCTCTTTTAAATTCTGACCCAGGAGTCTCCTGAGGGCAATTAATGTACATTAAATTACACTGAATTTATGAAATTCTTTGACCTAAAATTATTATATCATCACAAGGGATTTTACTGGTTCAATGAGGTAGGATATGTGTTCATAAAATAAAGAGACCAACATAGGGGACCTCTTTTGTGGCAGATGCTCTTCTTAGTTCTTGCTCTCACTCATCAAAACAACCCTCTGAAAAGGAAGTAACTTCCCTTATTTCACAGAGGAAGCTGTGGCCCAGAGAGCTTTTATTAACCTGATAGAACAAGATGGATGCAGGGCTCTAATCCTGAATTCTCTATTCTTTCCCCTCATCCTCACTGCTTTACAAGTTGAGTCCCTTGATCTTGGTTCAGTATGGTGCTGTTCGTTACACACACTACTGAGACTAAGGCACACGTGTTAATGTTGCAGAAGCTGAATCATAAATGAGCCTGTGTTTGATGAGGAAGTTCCCCCTTTTCCAGAAGGGGCATAAGTACTTAACTCCTTCAGAGGGAATCTCATCAGACCACAGTTTGTGAAAGAGTTTCTGAAGATTTCCAACAAGACTCTTTGGATTTAGGAGATTATCTAGAAGAATACGATAAGCGTGATGGAGTAGTACCTAAATGCTAGGTCACTACTGATATTGGACAAATGAGCTCACTTTCTCTAACTTCAGTTTTCTGAAAAACCAATGGATTCCTGGGAAAGATTGAGAGATTTGAGACATGGGACTCATACCTCTCAACCTCCAGTACCTCCAATTCTTTTTGTGGTTCCTGATATAAGTGCAGGCTCTATAAGCTTACCTCCTGCCATTCACATCCACTCCTGCACCAGCACTGCCCTCTTCATTTCTGTTTTCATTTCATTCATTACAGACCTGAGCAATTCCTGCCTCTTATTGTCTACTTCTTTTTTGGTTCCATTCTGAATTTCTGATCAAGGGGCCAGACTAGGTAATAAGATTTTGAGCTGAAAGGGAGGTTTTTAAATTGCTGGCACTAAAGAAACTTGAGTTAGCTACAATGGAATTTAGGAGTTGGAAAATGTCATTGAAATATAGCAAGTCAAAATTTAAAAAGCAATTGATGAATACGTTAGAAATTAATTCCCACATTACATATAGTTTGAGCAAAGACGAAGAGATAAACCAGTTATGCCAATGAATGATATTAAGAAGGCTCTCTGCTCCTCTCCATTAGACTGACAGTCACATCTTCCAGGGCAGTGCCAGCCATGTCCCTGAGACACAATGGTCCGAGTAAACGAATTTGGTCACATTGGGCACCTGGCCACCAGGGCTACTTTTAACTCTGACAAAGTGGATACTGTCACTATCAATGGCCCCTTCACTGACCTCAACTACACAGTCTACATGTTCCACTATGATTCCACCAATGGCAGATTCTATGGCGTAGGCAAGGCTGAGAATGGGAAACTTGTCATCAATGGAAAGCCCCTCTCCATCTTCCAGGAGCAAGATCCTGCCAACATCAAATGGGGTGATGCTGGTGCTGAGTATGTTGTGGAGTCCATTGGGGTCTTCACCACCATGGAGGAGGCTGGGGCTCACTTGAAAGGTGGGAACCAAGAGGGTCATCATCTCTGCCCCTTGTGTTGATACCCTCATGTCTGTGAGGGGCATGAACCTTGAGAAGTAAGACAACTCCCTCAAGACTGTCAGCAATGCCTCCTGTACCACCAACTGATTAGCTCCTCTGGCCAAGGTCATCCATGACAATTTTGACATTGTGGAGGGACTCGTGACCACAGTCTATGCCATCACTGTCATTCAGAAGACTGTGGACAGCCCCTCTGGGAAGCTGTGGTGTGATGGCCAAGGGGCTGCTCAGAACACCATCTGCTTCTACTGGCACCATCAAGACTATAGGCAAGGTCATCCCTGAGCTGACTGAGAAGCTCACTGGCATGGCCTTCTGCATACCCACCCCCAACATGTTAGTCATGGATCTGACCTCCCACCTGGAGAAAGCTGCCAAATACGATGACATTGAGAAGGTGGTGGAACAGGCATCGCAGGGCTCCCTTAAGGGCAATCTGGGCTACACTGAAGACCAGGTTGTCTCCTTTGATTTTCACAGTGACACCCACTCTTCCACCGTCAGGCCTGGGGCTGGCATTGCTCTCAATGACCACTTTGTCTAGCTCATTTCCTGGTATGACAATGAATTTGGCTACAGCAACTGGATGGTGGACCTTATGGTCCACATGGCCTCTAAGGAATAAGAGCCCCCTGACCACCTCAGCGAGAGCCTCAGCGAGAGCAAGAAGAAAGAGGACCTCAACCACAGTGGAGTCCTTGCCCCAACTCATCTCCCAACACACTGAAAATCTCCTGACCACCACAGTTTTCATCGCAGACCCCTTGAAGAAGGGGAGGGGCTTGGGCAGCCCTACATTGTCCTGTTCCATCAATAGAGTATACTGTACCCAGCTTAAAAAAAAAGAAATTAAGAAATCAGTAGATTGAGGAACTCCCCATCTCCCCAACAGCTTCAACCTCTCAATCCATTCCTTATGTAGCAACCAGAGTACTCTTTCTACATCACAATCTCATCATATCATAAAGTCCAAGCACTTCAATAGAGCTTGTTAGCTAGCTCAGCTTTCCAGCCTAGTTTTCTTACCACTCACTCTATCCCCAAACATTTTGTTGCAGGCAAAATGAACTTTTTTCACTTCCTGAAATAAGTCATCCTCTACCCTTATTCCTCCCCTACAAGTCCAAGCTTTTCCTTATCTTCCTCTCCTAGGACTTCCTTCCCCTAATATTCTCTATTGAGCCATCCACCCCAAATACCTCACATTCAGTTTAAATAGCTTTCTTTGAGCGAGGCTTTCTTGAGCTCCCTAGACCAGATTAAGTGTCTCTGCTATGCACTGTCACAGCACCCTAAACCTCCCTTAGTATAATGCTCACCATAAAGTCTACGCACAAGGATATTCATTGCAGCATTATTTGTAACAAAATGTCTAAGAAGCATTTTACATAAATTATAGTATATCTATGTAAAGAATGCTATACAACTGTTTAAAATAATGTCATGGAATTAAAAATCAAGGTTGCCTGGGTGGCTCAGTCATTGAATGTCTACTTTCGGCTCAGGTCATGATCCCAGGGTCCTGGGGTTGAGCCCCACATTGAGCTCCCTACTCGGCAGGTAGCCTGTTTCTCCCTCTCCCTCTGCCTGCTGTTCCCCCTATTTGCGCTCACTCTCTCTCTCTGTCAAATAAATAGATAAAATCTTTTAAAAAAATAAAAAACTTATAATATGGGAATCCTTAATACCTAAACTGAGTTGTTTTCCCCCAGAGACAATTTGGGGAAACCAGGGGGCTATCTACTGGGGAACACTTCAAGACTCGCAGCTTAATATCAGAGTCTCTAGCTTATCTCTCCCACTTTGGGGCAAACTTCCTCAGCAACTTTTTCCCAAACCTGGGGCTGATGTTATTACTTGCCCCCTGACTTAGAAGTTTATTTACACTCATTGTTTTTGTTTGAGCTTATTATATGTTTGCTGTTAGTGCTTTCTCTTGCTTTATCGTGGCTGATACTTTAAAAGGTATGCTCATGGTTTATTCGGGATCTAGCTGTATCATAACAGGAGGATGGCCTACCATCCTGTTAGATGCGGCAGTGAGACAAGTGTTTTTCTACTGTACCTCACTGAGTGAACTCATTATTCATTCATATATTCACTCATTTACTTACTCAAAGATTCATTCAGTCATGATCTCTGAGTACCTACTGAGTGCCGCGCCCAATGCTAGCGCTTTTTACTAAAACTGAAAGTAAATTTCTTAGCTTCATAATACGTGTGAATGTCCGCATATCCTCTCAGTGGCTAAAACCATATTTTTCTTAAAATATATGCGAATCACTCGGAGTGTCATAGAAGTAGGAAGCATCGGTTCCTGAAGTTTAGGGCATCCAGGAAGGTCATTTAAGTAAGAATTGTGATAGTAATAATTTTAGAAAAAAAAAAAATGAAAGCTCCTAACTGGTCACAGATTCTTGATGTAATCATCAAGAACAATGCCTATAAAGTACTTGGAAATTCTTTGAAGAAAATCAGCTGATATATACAAAAGTCAATTTCATTTAGTTTGCATTTTACGCCAATCATGCTAGAACTAGAAAAGCAAATCCCAGAGTAGCATATTTCATAGGTCATCCAGTCATTCAAGAAAACTGACTGGTGCACTGTGTGTGTCTCAGAGCAACAGAAGTAATCCCAGCCTTGAAGAAATCTGACACTCTGGTGTGAAAAGCAAACAAGGAAAGCAACTAGAATACAGTGTGGTAAGAAGTTGCGCCACGGAGTTCACATCAGCAGGAACAGTGAGGAAATGCACGGGAACGCTGACAGGCCGGTGTGCTCAGTGGTTAGCCCCCGTGACACTGACATCTTTGTTCCTCTTACCTCTTGTGCTGTTCTTCCTGATATTGCTGCTTTGTTTTAGCTTCATTTTCCAGTGCTTCTTTTATCCTTTGCTCTAGTTGCTTCATCCCCAAAATACAAGTGTCGGAGAGAGAGACTTTTTGAGCATGTTCTAATTTCTGCTGCAGATCCAGGATCTTGAAGGAAGTATTTCGTGAATAAAACATTAAGAAAAGTCTGACCTTTTTTCCAGTTAAGGAAATACCCCATGAGCAACCAGAAAACGTCGTGCTAACAAACAAATCTGGTCTAAAGTAAAGAGCACGGCCAAGTTTATTTTAACTTTAAAATAAATTACCTATGTTTTACATATATGATATATTCGCATAGTTTAGTGTATGTTTGTGTAAACGAAGTTATATAGTGAAAACTCCTTCTCATCTCTATCCTGTCTTCCTGCCAGTTTTCCTCAATCATGTAGGTAATCACTGGTATTAGTTTCTTGTGTACCTTTCCAGAGATTTATTGATGCCCACATAAATATTATTATGCAGTTCTCTCCCATACACATATTTTTTACACAAATGATGGCATATCTTATGTACTTATGCACCTTGCCTTTTAAAAAAATTTGGAGGGCAGAGGGGCAGAGGGAGAATCTTAAGCAGGCTCCACCCCAGCGCAGAGGCCCCCCCACAGGGCTTGATCTCATGACCCCAAGACCATGACCTGAGCCGAAACAAGAGTCAGAAGCTTAACCAACTGAGCCACCCAGGCACCCCTGCACCTTGCTTTTTAAAAATAGTACATTTGGTGATTTTTCTGTATTACATGTTTATGTAGAATTGCCTTCTCTTTTATAGCCACATACTATTCTACCATAAGGATATACTATAACTTACTTAAGTAGATCCCTCCTGATGGGATATTTAAATTGATTCCAATCTTTTGCTATTACAAACAATTGTTCTAGAATAAATTATGAGATAAGAATTTGCTATGGCAAAGGTTATTACTTATTTGTTTAATAGATAATGCAGGAGCGTCTGGGTGGCTCAGTGGGTTTAAGCCTCTGCCTTCGGCTCAGGTCATGATCTCAGGGTCCTAGGATGGAGCCCAACATCGGGCTCTCTGCTCGGTGGGGAGCCTGCTTCCTCCTCTCTCTCTGCCTGCCTCTCTGCCTACTTGGGATCTCTCTCTCTCTCAAACCAATAAATAAAATCCTTAAAAAAAATTGATAATGCCAACCTGGCTCTATAGGTATTAGGCTAATTTATACTTCCAACAGCAATGTGTGAGCGTGTCTAGTTTCTTTACAGTGTAGCCAGATTCACAACAAGATTTTAAAATAAAGCAGAAGTCTCTTACAAACCAAGTACTTATTAGGATATCACCTAGCATCAGTAATACATTCTTCAATGTACTGGTAGAACTAAAAATAAGACTTATGAATTTGATAGAGAGATGTATATTTTATTTTAGAATTTACACGTTAGATTAAAAGTATCATTAAAAACTTTTTTTGGTAGGTAAGTCTATTTTGTTTATCTATTTTTTATAAACCCTTGTGTCACCCAAAATCGTGACACAATTTTGTATGCTATGTACTTGTACATAGTAGATGCTCCATAAATATTTATTGAATGAATAGTTTTTAGCAAAATAGTCATTGTCTCTCAAATGTATTCTTGATCTGACAATGCATGCTTTACAATGGTTTGGCACCACATTCCCCACAAACATTCACTGAATGCCAGTGGATGGCACTCCTTTTTTTAAAAGCAGGGCTTTGTGCATCAGCCCTAGATCCTTGCAGAGCCCATGAACCATAGGAGAGGTGAAGATGCAGAATGATTCAAGGGCAATGGTAGGGGACAGCCAGTCATCATGAGGTCAGCTCAAGTTCCTTTGAGCTGCCCACTTAGTTCTGCTTAGGGAAAATGATTCCTTAAAGATAGGCACTCTTAATTCCACAAATGACAATATCACCCTGTTGGGTTCTCTACCAAGGACATATGCAAATGTTTGAATCTGTCACCCAGTTTAAGAAAATAACATTTCAGGGTGCCTGGGTGGCTCAGTGGGTTGAGCCTCTGCCTTCGGCTCAGTTGATGGTCTCAGGGTCCTGGGATCAAGCCCCGTGTCTGGCGCTCTGCTCAGCAGGGGGCCTGTTTCCCCTCTCTCTCTGCCTGCCTCTCTGTCTACCTGTGCTTTCTCTCCCTGTCAAATAAATAAAATCTTAAAAAAAGAGAAAATAACATTTCCAATACTTTTGAAGTCTAATCTGAGACCTTGCTGACTAGCCCCCTTCCCTCCCCACCTGAGAAAACCAGTATCTGAATTTTGTATTAACCATCTCCTTGGTTTTTCTTTAATATATAAGCTATATAACATGGATTTTATTGTATACCATTTTGACCTTTATATCAATGGACTTGTACTGTGTTTCTGATGATTTGGTTTTGGGTTTTTTTTAAAGATTTTATTTATTTATTTGACAGAGAGATCACAAGTAGGCAGGGAGGCAGGTAGAGAGAGAGAGAAGCAGGCTCCCTGCTGAGCAGAGAGCCCAATGCGGGGCTCGATCCCAAGACCCTGAGATCATGACCCGAGCCGAAGGCAGAGGTTTTAACCCACTGAGCCACCCAGGCACCCCTTGGTGATTTGGTTTTTATTCAATATATGTTGAACTACAACATGTACCTATAATTCATGTATTTTCACTGTTTTACGCTATTGTATAAATATACAGCTTATTTATTCTATCTTATGTCAGTGGACATTTGGGTTGCTTCTAGTTTTCTGCTATTTGGAACAATGTTCCTACAAAAATGATTATATTCCTATCTCCTGACACATATGTGCAATATGACATTTTCTCCAGTATTTCTGCCTACTGGCAGAAGTGCTGGGTTGTATGGTATATACATCTTTAATGTAACTAAATACAAATGCCAAATTGCTTTCCAAAGTGTTTATATTGGGGTGCCTAAGTGGCTTAGATGGTTAAGTGTCTGGCTCTTGATTTCAGCTCAGCTCGTGATTTGGGGGTCCTGGGGTCAAGGCCCACATGGGGCTCTGTGCTCAGCAGCAGGGTGTCTGCTTGATGATTTTCTCTCTCCTTTCCCCCACTGCCCCTCTCCCTTGCTCTCATGTGTGCTCTCTCTCTAAAATAAATAAATCTTTTAAAACCCCCCGAGTGTTTGTACTAATTTGTTCTCCCAATTGCAGTCAATAAATGAGTCCTTGTCGCACAAAATCCTCACCAATATTTAGTACTGTCTAAATTCAGGTTTTTTTGTTTGTTTGTTTTACTAATCTGCATTTTTTTTTTTACTAAACTTGGGTTTTTTTTTCTTACTAATCTGTAATTACCAACTACTTTTTAAATGGAGTAATAACATACATAAAGTGTGCATATCTTAAGCATACCAAATGAAGTTTTACTTAAACAACCACCTCTCACATCAAGACATACAATACTCCGGGGCACCTGGATGGCTCAATGGGTTAAAGTCTCTGCCTTCGGCTCAGGTCATGATCCCAGGGTCCTGCCATCCCAGGAGCCCACACTGGGCTCTCTGCTCAGCGCGGAGCTTGCTTCCCCCTCTCTCTGTCTGCCTCTCTGCCTACTTGTGATCTCTCTGTCAAATAAATAAATAAAAGTCTTAAAAAAAAAAGATATACAATACTCCCAGCACCACAGAAGATTCCCTCTCATTCTCTCCCAATTAGAAACCCTCATAAAGACAACCACCATCTTCTGATCACAGCTGAGTTTTGTCTATTCTTAAACCTCATATAAATGAAATTACACAGTATGAACGCTCTTGCTCTGGTTTCTTTAGCTCAAAATTAGGCTTCCAAGCATAATTAAGATTGCTATCATCTACTTTTTGATGTTGGTTTTATGTTTATATGGTCTGATGAAATGATTTACTTATTTTATGATTTATTTTTTTATGTGAGATTGGACTCTCAAACCCACAAATCAAAATGTGCTACTGTTACATACCACTGCCACCTGGTGTTAGGCAGTATGAAATGCAGGGGCATGATTTCCAAACATCCTTTTCACAACACAAATTGCCCCCCCAAGTTACAAGATTAAAAATCATATAAACAGACAAATGAGAGGAGAATCAGTTTTTTAAAAGTTGAAAGCATAAAGCAAAAGTCATAGGGCTTCAATCAGTTACTTTAGGTTCATGTTACAGCTTTATTAAACCTACCTTTTTTTTTTTTTTTTTAAAGTTCATGCAGTTTAAAGAAACACGAGCTTTACTGAAACTGCAGGAGCAGGTGAAGTCAAGAGAGAGGAGAGTGCAGAAGAGCAAAGAAAAACCCTAGAATTCTATCAAGTCTGCATCGCAGCTACTTCTTAGACTCCTTAGGGAAATGGGATTTCAGTAGTGGAATCCAGTGCACGCTATTTATTAAGCATGAGGATAATTACCTTTGCCTCCGCATCAGCAACTTTTGATTTCTCCTGAGCCAGCTTTTCCTGCAGGTTGTTCTGGGATTTGATGCTCTGAGCCTGTGTAAGTCCCTCCAGCTCCAGTTCCCTGATTTTCTGCTGACTGTGATTCCTTTCTGCTGTGAGTGAAGAGCACATCTTTGTGCTATCTAATAACTTCTGCTGGGCCTGCTTTAGTTCAATTTTGATCTGGAGGTGGGGAATAAACAAGAGTGATAGAAATAAGCATGGCAAAAAGGTGATTGTGAGCCAGAACAAGCACTTTTCATAGTAGTGCTGTCCCCCAAGAGCTGACAAATAACCAGTGTCACATGCATGATTACCTCTCCAGAGCTGTCATGTGTTAGTAAGGCTTGCCAAAGTCTATCTAGCCAGATGGCAGCTGGACAGAGGAATTTTCCTAAGAGTTCCTATACATGCATGGCCTGAACACTTTCCATCCTTTTGTTCAATCGACTGCAAGCTGGCTTTCATTCCCACTACTCCGTGAAACTGTCTATGCCAGGGGCACTACTAATCTCCCCACTGCAAAATGAATCCAATGGACAGCTGAGCTTTTCAGTAGTGTTCACTCCCTCCATCTCAGAAAGTTCTCTTGGAGTCTATGATACTGAAGTCTCCTGGTGTTCTCCTACCTCTTTGCTGTTCCTTCCTGGTTCTTCCTGTGTAGACTATTCTAATGCGACTCAACTTCTAAATATCACTGGACTACTGTAGGCCTTGAGAGTGGCTCATTCTCTCCCTAGGTTCATGATTTGAAATACCACCTTCATGCCAATAACTGCTAAAATAAAACTCCTTGAGTCTGTCCATATCAAACATAATTTTTCTCTCTCTGTCTTCCTGATTTCAGTAAATGATGCCACCATCTAAGGTTTTGTTCAAGCCAGTAGTCTGAGAGTCATCCTGAGTTTTCCTTACCTATCATGAGCCCATTCGACACCCACTGGCATGCTGCCTCAACAACATGTCTTGCATCTGCCCATCCGAGTCCACCACCCTTGTCTACGACACCATCATTTCTAGCCCGGGTCATCGCAGTAACAACGTGGTCCTGCCACTTCCATCTGTTCTCTACATTGCAGACCAAGTGTTCTTTTCTCTTTCTTCTTCTTTCTTTCTTCCTTTCTTCCTTCTTTCCTTTCCTTTTCCTTCCTTCCTTCCTTTCTTCTTTCCTTCCTTCTTTATCTCTTTCTTTCAAGAGCAAGCACACAGGTTAGGGGTGGGTGGGAAGAGAGTGAAAGGGAGAGAATCATAAGCAGCCTTGATGCCCAACAGGGAACCAACACAGGGCTCCATCTCACAACCCTGAGATCATATCCTGAGCCAAAATCAAGAGTTGGAGGTTTTTGGTTTTTTTAAGATTTAATTTATTTCTTTGACAGAGAGAGACACAGTGAGAGAGGGAACACAAGCAGGGGGAGTGGGAGAGGGAGAAGCAGGCTCCGTGCAGAGCAGAGAACTCAATGGGGAGCTCCATGTGGAGCTCGATGAAGAGCTCAATGGGAGGTTTGATGGGGAGCTCAGTGCAGGGCTCGACCCCAGCACCCTGGGATCGTGACCGGAGCCAAAGGCAGAGGCCTAATGACTGAGCCACCCAGGCGCCCCAAGAGTTGGAGACTTAACTGACTGAGCCAACCAGGTGCTGCCTCCCTCCTTTTTTCCCCTCGCCAACCTCTTTTATTTAAATCACAAGTTATTTAGTACCATGAAAGTAAAAAGGATCATCTCTATATTTAAAAACTGGTGACTTAACTAAAAATTTTGAAAATTTAAATGAAAAATCTCTATAAAAATAAAATATACCAAAGTTGATACAGGAATTCTTAAAAAACATAACTTCTTATAATTATTAAGAAATTGAATCAGTAATGGAAAATCTTTCCCAGAAGAAAACTCTAGAATCAGAAGGACTCAGAAATGAGTTCTTATAATTATTTAAGAAGAAATAATTGTAATTTATTTTTACAAACTCTTCCAGAGAAAAGAAAAAGAGGGTATGTTACCCATCTCATGTTAAGGGGCTAGGGTAACCTTAATACCCAAATCTGACATGGATGTTATAAGAAAGGAAAAAGACAGGCCAGCGTCTTTTGTGAACTAAGATGCAAAAATTCCAAAGAAATATTGGCAAGCTAAAATCAGGAATGTAGAAAAAAGATAATGATTTAGGATGAGGTTGGGTTTATCCCAGGAATGCAAAGTTGAGTTAACATTAGAAAATCAGTCAATGTAATTCACCATAATAACAGATTTAAAAATCAAAATATGCAGAAAAAGAATTTGATGAAATTCAACATGTGCTCATGATAAAACATTGAATGAACACTAGAAAAGAATTTTCTTAATGTGATTCTTAAAAATCTGTTTTAAAAAACCCTTTAGGGGTACCTGGGTGGCTCAGTTGTTAATGTCTGCCTTTGGCTCAGGTCATGATCCCAGGGTTCTGGGATCGAGCCCTGCATCAGACTCTCAGCTCAGTGGGAAGCCTGTCTCTCCCTTTCCTACTCCCCCTGTTTGTGTTCCCTCTCTTGCTGCCTCTCTCTCTGTCAAATAAATAAAATCTTTAAAAAAAAAAAAGAACCAGCCTTGGTCTCCAAAACTTAAAAAAAAAGAAAAAACAAAAAACCTCTAAAAACATACTAAATGAAATTTGAGAGCTTTCCCCTTGAGACAAGGAAGGAGAAAATATACCCCTATCACCAGCTCTATTTGGCACTATACAAGCCACTGCTTTGAACAAAAATAAAGAATAACAGGTGTAACATGTGGAAGGAAAGAAAGAAAATTATATTTATTCTTAGATATGATTATTTACATATAAAATACAAAATGATAGAAACATAAATTATAAGAAGTAATTTAGGGGTGCCTGGATGACTCAGTTGGTTAAGCATCTGCCTTCAGCTCAGGTCATGATTCCAGGGTCCTGGGATCAAGCCCTGTATCAGGCTCCCTGCTCTGGAGAGAGCCTGCATCTCTCTCTCCCTCTGCCTGCTGCTCTGCTTATTTGTGCCCTCTCTATCTCTCTGTCAAATCAATAAATAAAATATTTTTAAAAAGTAATTTAAAAGTATGGCAAGGTTTTTATTAGAAAAAATTTATTGCATTTTTATGTATTAGCAATAGCTAGAAAGTGAAATTTTTTAAAAGTTACCAATTACAATAGTGTGGAAAGTATCAGCACCTAGGAATATGTCTAGCAAAAGATGTATAAGACCTCTACAAAGAAAAATATGATATTGGGAGAAATTAAAGAAGACCTAAATATAATACACACACTTTTTAAAAAAGATTTTATTTATTTGACAGAAAGAGAGAAAGAGAGCGCAAGCAGGGGGAGAGGCAGAGGGAAAGGGAGAAGCAGGCTCCCCGCAGAGCAGGGGAAACCCGACCATGACCTGAGCCAAAGGCAGCGGCCCAACCAACTGAGCCACCCAGGCGTCCCTATACACACATTTAGCAGAGGATTTGATACTGCAACGATTTAAATTCCTCCCAAATTTGGGACGCCTGGGTGGCTCAGTCAGTTAAGTGGCTGCCTTTGGCTCAGGTTATGATCACAGGTCCTGGGATGGAGTCCCACATTGGGCTCCTTGCTTAAGCAGGGAGCCTGCTTCCCCCCCGCCTGCTCTGCCTGCTTCTCCCCCTGCTTGTGCTCTCTCTCTCTGGCAATGAATAAAATCTTTCAAAAAAAGAATTCTTCCCAAATTTATCTATAGATTCAGTGTACAAATTCAGTGTATAACTCTCAAAAGGTCATTTGTGTATATATGTGTGTGTGTGAGTACATGTGGGTATGTGGATTTAACTTGACAAGCTGTTGATAAAATTTTTATAGAATTTCAAAGGCCAAGAATGCCAAGGCATCCTAGAATAAGAACAAGATGAAAAGATGTGTTCTATCAAATATTAAGATTTACATAAAGCTAACATAATTAAGATAGCATGTTATTGGCACAAGAATAGACAAAACAGGACAATGGAACAGAATAGAGACCTTGGAAACAGACCACATATATGCTAATATTTTTTTTTAAAGATTTTATTTATTTATTTGACAGAAAGAGGCAGGGAGAGAGAGAGAGGAGGAAGCAGGCTCCCTGCTGAGCAGAGAGCCCGATGTGGGGCTGGATCCCAGGACCCTGAGATCATGACCTGAGCCGAAGGCAGAGGCTTTAACCCACTGAGCCACCCAGGCACCTCATATGCCAATATTCTTATGACCCATGTAACAATATAGTAATATAGGAGAATATCTTTATGACTTTGAAGTTGACAGAGAACTCTTTCTTTCTTTTTTTAAAGATTATTTATTTATTTATTTGAGAGAGAGAGAGAGCAAGAGTAAAGGGGAGGAGCAGAGGGAGAAGGAGAAGCAGATTCCCTACTACACAGGGAGCCCAATGCAGGGCTGGATCCCAGTGGAATCACGACCTGAGCCGAAGGCAGATGCCCAACCAACTGAGCCACCCAGGCGTCCCTCAAAACATATATTTAGAGAGTGAAAATATAAGCCATAGAGTAGAAGATGTTTGTAATACACACCTGATCAAAGCTTCATATATAAAGAATTCTTATAAATTAATGGGAAAATGAAAATGACAGAAGCCCCAAAAAAGTAAGCAAAATCTTGAACAGGTCTTCACAAAATAGCAACTCAAATGTCAAAGAAATATATAGAAAGCTGCTCAACTTCATTTGTAAACAGGGAAACGCACTTTAAAACTGCTAGGAGTGGGGCGCCTGGGTGGCTCAGTGGGTTAACCCTCTGCCTTCGGCTCAGGTCATGATCTCAGGGTCCTGGGATGGAGCCCCACATTGGCCTCTCTGCTCAGCAGGGAGCCTGCTTTCCCCTCTTTCTCTGCCTGCCTCTCTGCCTACTTGTGATCTCTCTCTGTCAAATAAATAAATAAAATCTTTTAAAAAAAAAAAAAACTGCTAGGAGCTACCGCAATACACATACATGAGATTAGCAAAAATTGTCAAGTCATAATCTGTGTTGCTCTGGTCATTACACCTTGAGAAAGATGTAGTATTGCTTGAATATGTTCAGAGTTAGACAGTGAAAATTATCTCAGAAATGTGTTTGAAAGGAAAAGGAATTGCTGTCTTACAAGGAAATATGATCAAGATTTGGAATTTAATTTACTACTAAGAAGGCTTGAGGGAATATGGTCAATATTAAAAAAATCATGAAGGGTGAGGAATAAGGAAGCAGTTTCTTCAAATAATCCTGAAATATTAGGACTCTCTAGAAGGGCCTCCTTTCAAGTTTGACGTAAATGACTACTTGTTTTCCTCTGTATCTCCCCCACTGTGTTGTGAGTTCCTAAAAAGGAGGAACCCTTCTTAATCTCTTTTTAGATCACTTTTTGAAGAAGGTACCTTGTTCCCGCTACACTAGGTGTGACGAATTTTCCTATAAAGGGCCAGAGAGTATATGTTTTAGCCTTTGTGGGAACTACTCAGATCTGCTATTACAGTACAAAAGCAGCCATCCATAATATGTAAACAAACAGGTGGGGCTGTGTGCCAATAAAGCTTTATTTACAAAAACAAGAGGCAGGCAGAATTTGACCCATGGACTCCTACTGACCAGAGGATAAGCCCTCTATCGGTTTTAGCTATGGTTAAACCTTCAGTATCAACAAGATTCCCTGCCTGGATTATGACCGATGCTTAGTACATATTTGTTGAATGCTGAATTCCAGAACTTTAGATAGGGACTTATAGAAAACTAGGTCCCTAATATATGTTTACAGAATTGAACCTCAATTAAAAGGAAGCACTATTTTTATATGATGGTTCAGTTTGAATATTTGTGTGGTTCATAAAATTTAGATGAACTCCGTGGCTGGCAGTTCTACATAGATTATTTTAGAACAAGCATGTTTGGAAGATGTCTTCCTAACTTTCTGATAGAACAAGTTTGCCCTCCTATGAATTGTACCTTGGTGCAATTGATCTTTGATTCAATCAATAATAATGGATACGGCTCTTAGGGATAAATAAGTCTATAGATAGAACTACGGCAGGACCTTCAGCGTTTGGGATCAGGTCATTCAAATTTAGTTAAGTGTTAAAAGTTTTAGCTAATGATTTCAAAAGATTGTGTAACTTTAAAAAGTTTGTCTCCTTTATAAGTTGACAGTATACACACACCTTCAGCAACAGGGAAACAAATGAACTGTGAGCCTACTTGGTGGGGCAGTGTCAGAGTGAGTTATCAGAGAGCTCACATCGCCCACACATCTGGGGGTCCTACCACGAATTATGCAGCTGGGGAATGAGAACACGTTTATCTCTAGGGCTGATTAGCAACTGAGACCCTCCGATCCAGGGTATGCCCCGAGAATCACCTTAAGGCTTTCTTCCTGAAGTAAGCTATTATGCTGTTTCAAGTCCAAGTTCTTTTCTCGCTCATACCGGAGCTCTTTTTCAGCCGAGTTACACAGAATCTGGAGCCGGTGCAAATTCTGACGAAGCTGGTCTACACCATCTTGCTGCTGGTATTTCACCTTCTCTCCAGATGATGGACACTAAACAAACATTTTAAAAGAGAAACATGGGCAATTTGAAAGAATATTGGTAAAACATGGGTTCCAGCTCAGAAGCAGAAATGTCAGAACTATTCACACGTAAATATTCTTGGAGTTGGCTTACCTCCAGCAAGTTACTCTCTTTTATACTTATGGCCATTTGGTACATGTTCGCATAATTTAACTCCCGTTATTTTAGAATGAAAATATCAATGAAATTATTTGAGCAAAGCAGTTAAGCATAGACAATTAGCTTTCTTTTCTTATGAATGAAGGGAAAGAGAAGCATGGACCATTTAAGAGTAAAACATGCTTTAAATGGGGAGTTCAAAGAGCCAATATGTGAAGAAGGAAAAAGTGTGAATGTGTACGTATTGTGTGTGTGTGTGTGGGGGGGTATCTGTTGGCAAAAAGGAAGAGAACATTTAGCAGGAGATCTTAAATTCCCAGTCTTCCTCATTGCTTTCCTGTTACTTTCACATGATTCTTCTTCAGTTACTATACAACCACATACTCTCCTGCAGGTCTCCAGGGCAGTAAAACCACCTTGATCAAAGGAGGAATCATGGGGTTTTCTAAAAGGTAGTCTTACATGGGTGTGCTATGTAGATAAATAATTCAACCTTACCCAATTCAATAGATAACATATATTTAGAGTTTCCTGAGTCCTGGTCCAGTGTACTACCTGCCCATGACTTTCTGGAAATCCCATGTCATTAGTCCAGTTCTTTCTTGCTTACAACAGAATTGCAACACAGAATTCCCCAAGTCCTATAAAGTCCTTTAATTCCCATCTTGATTTAGTCAAGAAGACAGTCTAAATCCAGTTTGCTTGTCCTAGAGCTGCAAGTGTCTAAGATCCCTAGAAAAAATTCTTTAATAGAATTATAATGTAATTATTAAGAACCCTAGCTTTGGAATTAGTTTCAGTCCTGAATCTATCTTGAATAAGTTAGTTTCTCTGCTTTTTATTTCCTTCATCTGAAAATGGGGATAATAATGATAACTGCTGGATGGAGTAAAGGATATGTAAGATAATGCATGCAAGCACTTAGCATGATGCCTGGCACACAATAAGCATTCAGTAACATGACCCAGGACTGTGGGTGCTACCCAGCTTTATTTTAACTGCCTTCTGGTTCCATCTGAAAACAAGAATTCTCTGAAACCTGGAAACCCTTGATCACCAATGTAGCTTCTTATTATCAGACAGCAGCTTTTAATAATCAGTGGGTAACCAGCAGCCCATATGGCCACTGAACATGCCCAAACAGACATATACAAGAGAAGCACCCCCTTAATACCAATGTACAGAAATTTTTAACCTGTTTTGAAGATGAGAAAAGCCAGAACAAAAATTCTTCTGGCCTACGTTTTCTAATCAAGTCACTTAGCCCGGGCAGAAATGCAAATTATTTTGCATGAAAGGCAACTAACTAGTAAAGAAGCTACCAGGCAACCAGTCAAGTGGCCAACGTAAAGGGTCTCTATTTTCCCCACGTGTAAATGGCTTCCAGGCAGAAGGTTATTACAGAGACATTTAGACTCACTCAGGCTACTAGGAACCATGTAGAACTGCAAAGGAAAGTACTTAGCTTCCTTTCTTGACCAATCAACAGATTTATTAAGCCAATTATCTTCTCCGAGTCTCAGCTGACTCATCTGCAAATTAAAGGCATAAGACCAGATAATCCGTACACAATGTCTCCTCAATTCATAATTCCATAAGAATTAAAATGAAACAAATTGGAACCAGCATTAATTATCTTAATTTTATAGGCTTAAGATCTAGCTTTTAATATTTTCAAATATTATCTTCACACAATAAAAATTTAATATGAACCAAATCCATATACTGGTACCGATGACAAGATCATTCCTTTTGTGGAAACAATTAAAGCCTATGAGCCTTCAATACTCTCATTCAGTGGGTGTGGATGGAACAGGCTATCCAGCCTGCCCAGATGTCAAGCATCAAACCAAGTCCACTTATTCGGACTCCCTACTCATCAAACATCCTTCAGATTTGAGTTTCTTTCTGAGCTCTCTACAGGTAAACATGTGTTCATTTAAACCTGCTGAAGTGCTATTTATAACTAATTATTACAGATAATAACTAACTGACATTCTGGTTTTAGCCAATAGTCTTGAAAGTTTGGCTTAATGTGAATTTATCCCCAAGATACAGATCTATTCTAGGGGGACTAATGCATCAAGTTTTAGAGCCTGTGAGCCTAAGGGCCAAACCTCAAATAAATTCATTAAGACAATCAATAACAGACACCTTGGGAGGGCTTTTGGAAGATGGCTTGCCAGCCTTCCTTAGGAAATTAGCTTTACAGGAGAACTGTATGCTTTCTTTGACTTTCTCAGCAAGGGGAGGCAAATGACAGGGGTTAAGACAGGTCAAGTTCTAGAGTAGACAGACCCAGGTTCCACTGCTATGTGTCATTTTGGGAAAATTATTTAACCTCTCTAAAGCCTCAGTTTCCTCATCTGTAAAGTGGCAACAACACCATCCTGCCTTGTTGTGTTGCTTAATATATATAAGGTATTTAGTGTAGTGCCTGGAACAGAGCAAATATCCAATGATGTCATGGAAAAACATGAAGCTAGATATTTAAACCTATAAAATTAATTAATGGTGATTGCAGTTTGTTTCACAAACATTGGGGAAGTAAAAATCTTGAATTCAGCTCTTACAACCTTACCTGGAATACTGTTGAACAGCAGAAATTAAGGCACCAAAGGTGATCAGCACCCCCAAATGATGTCACAAATACATAAGAGCAATAGAGCTCACCTACTTACTCATAAAAGAGGAACTCACAGTTCTTTTTCTATGTCTTTGCTATCTATAAGCATTCTTTGGAGTTTGATATCTGGTCTCAAGCCACAGTTGCTTAAATGTGTATGTTAGATTAAGACAATAGAGCAAAAAGGAGGTAGGCACTAGACACTAATGGGACAAGAGGGGTGAAGACCCAAAACTTCACATACACAAGAACTAAAAGGCAGAACAATTTCTAGCCACCAGTAAATCAAGGTACCCTCTACACAGATAAAGTTTCTGAAATTATCATTGTACAGAACCCTGGAAACAAACAAAAACCTGTCTAAAATATCTTTTCTCCCTTGCCTGCTTAAAGAAGTGAAATAGTACGTGTGATACTGCTTTGGGACATGTAAAGTTCAAAATATAAATATGTTATTTTTTCCCAAGAGGCCCACATCTATCTTGTTTCCTGCTATAACACAGGGGCCCAACACAGGTCCTGGCAGGTCATAAAATACTCCATTAATAACAGTCGGATAAACGAATAAGAGCAAATTACCCCTCTTTCACTCATTCGAAGTAATTACTATGGAGCAAAATTACTGAACTCTGCAAGAATTCAGTGAAACTCTAGAGGCTATGTGGTTTAAGGACCATTTGTCCTTTTACAAAGTGGTTCTTCTCCCAGATGCCCCACATAATTTTTATATATTTAATCATTTTTCACCTCCCTCCTGTGTATTGAGAGATGATTCTTCAAATAATGAGAAAGGGTACATTAAATAAAATTAATAAATGAACCCGGGTGTTAATTGTCATACTCTCCAACTCATTGTTGGAGAGTAAATGCCTTGATCATTTTAAGCTCATAAACCCAGATTTTATAATCTACGTGACCACAGTGTCCATCCTCTGCCCAAGCCTCTATGCTGCTCACTGCCCAATAAAGGGACTGCCTGGGGGATTTAAAATTAACCTTTTTTTGAACATTGGATGTCATACCCCCTTTGGTCTTCTCAATAAATGCAATGGCTCCCTTCTCTTTCAAACATGTGTGAATCTCCTTTCAGGGATCTATTTTCCTTCTTTACTGTGACTTGCCTTGTTTTCAGACCCTATATCTGCATTTCTTTTCAAATGTACTTTTGACTTCCTTTACTATTACTCTGCTTTTTTTTCTATGTATATTTGAAGCCATTTTTAAATGCGTATTATCAGTCTTTTGAAGTTGGCCTATGTACGTGTACAAAGGCCTCCCTCTGTGGATCTCAAAATAATTCCTAGAAAGGCATGCATACAGAAATCTTAATTTGTACTAGGGGGAAACCTGCAAAAGTGAGGTGTAAGAGCTAAGTTGGGAGTCACTCCCGGCATTTCTCCAGCAGGCAGATCTTGAGTAAGTAGCAAAAGCCAAACTCAAAACAATTCCAAGTCTGTGGTCTTTTACCCACCCAAACTAACTATTTTGTAATTCTAAGCCAGGCACTGATGAATAGAAAATGTGTCACAAATCCTGCCCCTCCCTACCCTGCCTCCCTGTGGGAGATGTTAAGGACCAATCGGCATTTCTTCCTGCTGAACCTAACTGGAGCCTAAGAACCCTTTAGAACAAAGTGTTTCTGTTGACTCTTTTATCACCACTCAGGCCATGGTGATGATCTTGCTTAACAACTTTCATGAATGTTGATATAAAAATGGTACTTACATCCACAGGTGGCCAGAGGAAATGGACCTAATCAGAGTACGTGTTTATAGCACCTACCTTGGCACTATTGTCATCTGAACTATCCCCCGAGCTCTGAGATTGCAGGAGGCTTTGATTTATACGATTCAGCTCTTCTCTAAGCCTCTCAATTTCCTCAGGCTTCAAGATCAACTGCTGTCCTTCACCCTCCATATTTAGGTTCTGTTGTGAGTCCTCCTCCTTCTGCCTCTCTCCTGGCGAAGTGCCCTCCTTTACTGACTCCTCTGCAATTTCCCTCTGCTTACTTTCTCCTTGTTCAGGACTTGGTACAAATATAACAACAGAAAACTGTCAAAATTCTCATTATAGTAGCAGAATATGGACCCCTCCCAAAAAAAATCAACCAGTACTGCAAGCAAATCTTTCAACTTGAATTCTGTAGCAGAACAGTTCTCTTACTCTTATACAGAAATTTTTAAAACAAATGAGTCATATTTTTTTACTCACATTCAGGGAGATGACCCATCAGAGAGTTTCGTTTATACCAAATCAACCAGTTTAAGGGAACTTTTCACTTTTTCAACAGTAAGTATGGCACTGGGCAGACACAGCTTATAAAGATTTTTTAATTACTCAGTAAGCTCCAGGCACTTTGGCAGGCACTGGGACTACAGTAGGACATAATCCCTGCCCTAGAGGGCTTACAGTTTGGTAAGAAATAAGGATAATAAGGGAGTAGATTACACTCGTAGTAAGTAATCTGAGGTCTGATGGATGACTAGGCACAAACCAAGCAAACATAAAGGTACCGGTGTGTGCATACTAGCATATGTGTGTGGGTATGTTGGGTGAAGGTGCTGGTATAGATGGGAACAGAGAAAAATAAATCCCGGTGCTCCAGGATGCCTTAATAAATAAAATGCCTGAAAGCCTAGAGGCGAAAGAGAGAATGTCCTTTAGAAAGACCATCTGGATGTCACGGAGTGGGGAAACCGGAGATGGTTAGTGATTGATGTGATTAACAATGATGTTTAGAACAGGATGTGGGGATGGAAACAAGCAGTGGATTCTAGAGATATTTACAAGACAATATTGATAAGATTTGTCATGAATTTGATGTGGCAGGAGAGGAAGAATAAGGTATAATGGATGACACCTAGGGTTCTGTCTGTGGCAAATAGGCAAGTGGGTGATAGACCAAGAAGGGGGAATGTGGACATGGGTTGCAGAGTTGACTCTGGTGAACATGCGGAAGAATGTAAGCAGCAACCTCAGGATCTGGTAACAGGAGCCAAGGAGAAGGAAGGTGAGAAGACCATTCTAGACAGATGCCTGAAGACTTGTAAGGAACAAGCAGAGGAAGGAGAACCTGGAGAGGAGGCTGAGAAGCCAAGGGGAGGGAATGTACCTTCACTGGTCAGGCAGTGTGGATGACACAAATATGCTGAGTTTATTTTTATTTGTTCATTTTAAATTTGTTTAGCTACCACGGAGCTGAGATAGCGTGCTTCACAAATTATAGTTGGTGCTCAAATTCTTCAAGAAGGCAGTTTGGCAATACAGATCAAGAGCCATAAAAATGTTCAGACCCTTTGACTGAATAATTGAATACCAATGAATTTACTGCAATAGAATAATTCATAAGATGAAAAGAGCTGAATGTATAATAATGCTCATAAGCATGCTATTTAAAACAGTGATTAAATGGAGACACAGAAATGGCTAAGAGAATTAAAGATAAATCAACTTAAAAGTGGTATAAAGATATTCATCAACATGAAAAATACTTATTAAAATAAAATGGTAGAACAATAAACTATATAAATGTATATGTATGTGTATAAACATACATAATACCATGGGAAATGTATATATAGAAAAAACTGGAAAGGAAGAGGGGAAAAATTATGGCTAGGGAGTTTTTTTTCCCTTCTTAAATTCCTTTGGCAGGAACAAAAAAAGAATTAAATATTTTATTTTGAATTCAGCACGTTTTTTGTTTTTGTTTTTGTTGTTTAGAGAGAGAGAATGTGAGAGGGAAAAAACGGGAGGGGCAAAGGGAGAGAGAGAGAGAGAATTTTAGGCAGGGTCACCCCCAGACAATATGAAATAAAGACTAAAATCCTTTAAAAATAAATTTCTGATAAAAATAACAATGATTTTTTTCCTATCTTCCATGAACTTTTTTCCTTTTCCTACTCCCAGTGGAAGCCAGATACACTTGGAAGACTGGGGAAAATGCAAACATATACCTCATAATTTTTAAAATGGAAAAACTAACCTCTGCTTCCAGGAAGATGGAATAAACCTACTTTTTCCTCTTTCTCCAACCAAGTGCAACTAAAAACCTGGGCATTATATATAAAACCAACATAAGAAGACTCTGAAAGGTAGAGAGAAGGTAGACCAACTAGGGTACTCCGGACCTGAGGAGTGACATGACTGTGGGCTTCCTGGGTTTTAACTGTTTTACTCTAGCCAAACACCACAGGAAAAATCTATGCCCCCACCCCCACCCATGTCAGCCAAGGTCAGGAGCCTATACTTCCATCTTTACCAGGCTATAATGAGGCACCCCTTTTGGGGTGGTGTCACAAGTCCACAGGGAGCGTGGATTTTCATCCCTGCCAGGCAGCAATAGACACGGGGAATCTGGACTTTCACCTGCACCTGGCAGTGATGAGACACCTTGCTCCTTTTCTTCTGGGCTGGTGTCAGATGAGGCCTAGTGGAGAGTAAGGACTTTCACTAACAAGACCACCCTTACACACCTCTGTGTGGTATCATGGAGACCCAGTGGATAGCAATAACAAGGCACTCCTCCCTCTCACAGCCAGAGCACTATAAGCAGAGGCCTCCCACCCTCACCAGCAGTAATGAGGTGCCCCCCTTTCCTTGGGTGTCCATGGAGTTTGAGTGGGGAAGCTCAACTTGAACCCCCAACTTGGGGTAGTAATGAGACAGCACCCTCCTATTCCCCCTGCCAGAGTGGTATCAGAAGAAGCCAGTTAAACTGAAGGTTTAAATAAGACCTAGAGTCTCATAATACCCCAAATACTCAGATTTTAATCTAAAATTACTCCTCATACCAACACCCAGGAAAATGAGAAAAGGTAAAAATAGATGATAAAACCAACATGTCAGAATTATCTGACAAAGATTTTTAATCAGCCATCATAAAAATGTTTTGATGAGCGCTTATGAACACAGTTGAAACACATGAAAACACTCAAAGTCTCAGAAAAGAACTAGAAAGTCTTGGCACAGAAATAGAAAATATAAGGAAGAACCAAATGCAAATTTTAGAACTGAAAAGTACAACAATCAAAATAAAAACTCAAATGCAAAATGGATTTAAATTATAAAAATATACATAAAACAAGGAGAGTCTTCAAGATTTAAAGTTAAGCAGAGTTCTGAGACCTAACACCAAAAGTATGATCCATAAAAGCAAAGAATGATATGTCATCAAAATGAAAAACTCCATGTTGAGAAAATCCTCATAAGAGGGAGAACAACAAGCTATGGACTGGGAAAAAATATTTGCAAATCACATACCTGACAAAGGACTAATATTAGAATTCATAAAGAACTCTCAAAACTTAACAGTGAGAAAACAAACCCGTTAGAAAATAGGCAAAGACGCAAAAGGAGACTTCACTAAAGAGGACAGACAGATGAAAATAAGCACATCAAAAGATCAACATTATTAGCCCTCAGGAAAATGCAGATTAAAACTACTGTGAGATACCACTATACACCTATGAGAATGACAAGTGACATTACAAATTTACAAGTGACAATACCAAATGCTAGAGAAGATGCAGAGAAACTGGATCTCTCCCATATTGCTAGTGGGAATGTAGAAATGATATAGCCACTGGAGGAAATCAGTTTAGCAGTGTCTTGAAAGCAACAAAAAAACCCTAAACACATACAGTTACCATGTGACCCAGAAATTGAACTCATGGGGATTTATCCCAGAGAAATGAACAATTATGTTCATATAAAAACTTGAATATTTATAGCAGCTTTATTCAAAACATTCCAAACTAGAAATAAACCAGATGTTTTCAATGGATGAACAGTTAAACTGTGGAACAGCCATATTATGGAATACTATACAACAGTCAAAAGGACCCAATTGTTGACTCAGAAATCTAGATGAATCTCCAGAGAATTATGTTGAGTGAAAAAAAGGCAGGCCCCAAAAGATTACATATTGTGTTATATTTCTATAACACTCTTGAAATGAAAAACTTACAGAAATGGAGAATAGACTAATTTGAATTAGAATAGGGCCTAGAGTTAAGAAGTGGGTGAGACAGGGGGAGTGTTGGGAGGGAGGGTCTATAAAAGAGCAACATGAGGGATCTCTGTGGTGATGGAAATGTTCTGTACCTTGACTATAGCAATGTCAATATCCAGGCTATGATTTTATACTATAATTTTATAAGACTTTACCAATGGGGGAAACTGATAAAAGGTACATGGGACCTCTCCATTATTTCTTACAACCGTATGCATGTGAATCTACAAGTACCTAAAAATAAAAAGCTTTCTTTTAAAAAAATGGCAAATAAGAACTGGTCATTTAGGCTTCATATGTATGCAGGTTGCTTGATTTGTTACATTTAGAAGGGTGAATAACTTTATAAAGAGTAAACTTAGCCAGACCTAATGTAAATTCCTTCTATAATTGCATAGCGGCCATGTTGACACAGAAGAAAATTAGCCTTCATTATGTTTCTATAGCTCAAAGATAAAGTTTAAATGGTCTTCTTCTCAGGTAGGTCTATGAGATGTGCCTATAAAGCTGTATTGAGAGCAAGGCAGTCAGTAAGTCTTCTCTGACTTGGAGGGAATGATAAGCAAGTGCTCTCTAGGGCACAATCCTGGGGCTGATGCCATTTTACATCTTCATTAAAGGTCTGAAGAAATTAACAGCATTCACATGAATTCGTTAGTTGATTAAGGAGAATTAGTAATATCTTGAAATATGGGAATTTAAAGTGCTCTTGATACATGAGGACAATTATCCTTTAAATAAATGCCCTCCAAAAAGAACAGGCTTTATTCTTTCAAAAGACACAGAGAAAATGTGCAATTTAGAAACAAAAGGTAAACTGAACAGATTTTTAAAAAGTAGTACATACTACTATGTATTACTTTATTTTACTTTTATGTAGTAGTAGTAGTAATGACAATAATAATGATAATGATAATAACATAAAAGGTGTATGGGCAAAAGTAGACCACCAGCCAGAAATGACATGTTGCTGAGAACATGTCTTTCAGTCCTGCACACCTGTACTTTAGGGC